ATTTGTTCTTGAGTCCCGCAGAACAGATAATAATAATCTGACATTTTAAAAAAAATTCTTCTTGAAAGATCTAGTAGAAAGAACTACAGTTTCAATTCTGTTCTTATTTATTTATTTATTTTAAAATAATGCAGAGTACTTCTTTCCAGTAGAACTGACACTTAACTGAGCATAATATACTTACAAATTTGTTGGACTTATTTTATCCTATAGTTTTGGTTTACTAGTTGCCTAAAATCTGAAACTGAAGTATGTCATCGATGCATTAAATAGAGGGTTCAGAGACCATTGTTTAAATACAGATACTTTAAACAGTTCAATTCTACTATTACAATGCATGGCACAAATAAATAATTTATAATATCCTGAAAATCTTATTCACACTCATTTTCCCCATTTTTCCCCCCATGCAATATTCCAGGTTTTGCAAAAAGAAACTTGCTTGCCAAACAAAGTCCTCTAAAATATCTCCACAATAAATGAAACATAGTGGCAATCTATTGCCACCTAGTTAATATGGATGGGTGACTGTAGAAAACAAAATAACACAAATGTACTACACCATTCCTGCATTTATATGCATATATAATAAGCAAAATGGTAAGTTTTTTTTTCCTCATAGCATTAAAAAATATACAGAAAAAATAATACATGCATATTTTAAAGTATAAAGTATCTTAATAATGTCATTATCGATAACCTTATATTCAACATAGAGAATTCAAAATATATATTTATATCAAATAGTAATGCTTAATTATTTTTCATGCTGCATTATTGATAAATATATATTACATTAGATATTTAATGGAAGAGATTTCTGTTACAATTATAGGCAGATTTACTGAGGAATTATAATGCTGAGTACTTCTTTCTAGTAGAACTGACACTTCATTGATCATGATGTACTTACAAATTTGTTGAATTTTACCCTTTAGTTTTGGTTTACTGCTTGCCTAAAATCTGAAATTAAAGTAAGTCCTTGATGCATTAAATAGAGGTTCAGAGACCACTGCTTAAATACAGATACTTCAAACAGTTCAATTCCACCTTTCTACAACGTGGGGCATAAACAAATAATTTATAATTTCTGCAAATTTTATTCTCACTCATATTCCCCTTTTTCCCTATGCACTATGCCAGGTTTTGTAAAAGAAACTTGCTTGCCAAACAAAGTCCTTTAAAATATCTCCACAATAAATGAAACATCATTGTAATCCATTGCCACGTAGTTAACATGGATGGATGACTGTAGAAAAAACTAGCCATTCCTGCAATTATATGCATATGTAATAAGCAAAATGGTAAGATATTTTTTCCTCATAGCATTAAAAAATAAACAGAAAAAATAATACATTATTGATAAATCTATATTTCATTAGATATTTAATGGAAGAGATTTATGTTACAATTATAGGCAGATTTACTGGGAATTATACCTGGTAAAAATAATTTCTATCTTGATGAAACATGCATAGGGATGAGACGCATATGCTAAATTTACACATTGACATGAAATGTATATGTTTCTGATGACAACATGTCTATGTTACAGTTTATCAGAATAGTTGAAACCAAGAATGATTTTTGCACAAGGAATTAGGACAAATATTGAGAATTTGTTTCCAGAATGCCATTTTGAGTTCCTTATTCCTCATGCTATAAACTAGTGGGTTTAAGAGTGGCGGTACCACACAGTAAAATATTGATATAAATGGATATAAGGCTGAAGAGGTGGTAGATGTTGGACTGAAATAGGCAAGGGTACCACTTACCGCAAACAAACAAATGACTGTGAGATGGGGTAAGCAAGTAGACAAGGCCTTTTGTTTTCCTTGGGAGGATGGGATTCTAAAAACTTCTCTGAAGATCTGCACGTAAGAAAAAACAATTACAGCAAACTGAATGAATCCTAAACAAGAACCAAAGATGAGAGTCCAGAATTTGGTGAAGTATGAATCAGAGCAGGAGCAACTGAGGAATGTCACAGAAGAATTGATTGATGACTCTGGAACAGAATTCCATTGTGAATAAATTTCCAGTATAGAGAGCAGAGTAGAAAAGGCCACCCATCCATGCATTGGTTGCCATTTGGACACAGACTTTTTTGTTCATTGCTATCTCATAATGTAGTGGATTGCAGATGGCTACATAACGATCATATGCCATGACGACAAGGAGGAAGAGATGAGACATTACAAAGAAAACAAAGAAGAAAATTTGACAGAGACACCCAGAGTAAGAAATAGTTTCAGTGTTCATCAAAGAATTCAGTAGTGATTTAGGAACTGTGACAGAGATGGAACCAAGATCTTGGAAAGATAGGTTGGCTAGAAAAAAATACATGGGTGAGTGAAGTTGATGACTGTGAAGAATGACGGTGATAATAATGAGATTCTCAGTGAGTGCTACCAAATAAATTACTAAAAAACTGGTGATATGAACTATTCTTAGCTCCTTAGTGTCAGGGAATCCATGCAGAAGGAATTCACCAACTCCTGATTGATTTTCCATAGTGCTATTTCCTCTTTGCAGTCTGTGAAAAAAAACCTGAAAGATCAGACTCCTTTTCAATGTAGCAGGATTCACAATGGGCTGGAACACTTTGAATATCATTTTGTCACACCTGGTAGTGCTAGAGAGATGGGAACAATTTTCATCCATGGAAAGTCTGTAGCTATTCCCAAGGAGTTCATTTCTCAGTTGATCAGTACTGACTGAAATTATGCATTTGACATTGGAATTCAAACTTTACATTGACTTTAGTCCAAACAACAGCTATTAAAATAGCCTTCAAATTGTATTAATTGGGTCACAAGAGATTTTGTTTTGTTCAGTCCATTTTTAAAAAGTTTTACCAAAACACATATTAACTATGCAGGCTCTATAATGACTTTTAGATTTCCATAATTATAGTACAAGGTGATTTCTATCACCTTATATTGGTCCAAAGATAAAATGCCTATGAAAACTCGATTTGAGGGAAGGGGGAGAAACAAAGGGGGCCATGAGGAGTTGCAATAGGGACAGGCAAGTAGTCTTGACAAAGAAACTATTTTTTTAAAAAAACAAGAGTTTTCAAATAAACCTTTGGGTAGCACCCATGAAATTTTGGCAGACCTTATAAAAGTGAAGTTCTTGTTAATTTAGTTATATTTTTTTATTAACAGTACTCTAGTTCTGTACAACGTTTTTTAAATAATATTTTTATTAATTTTCCAATTTTCCATTTAAGTATTTAAAAAGCAACATGGTGGCTAGGTTAATCAAGAGTACAAATCTCAAGTTACAACATCAAACATTTCCTCTCTTTTTCTCTTAAGGTTTACTGTCTCGTATTTAAGTTAATACAGTTCTTATTATATCAACTCAGTAAAAACATCATTATTACATTTATCAATAAATTTTAGCTTATATGTATTTTAATTATTGTTTACATTCAATCTTCATAAACAATCCATATGCTGTTATTATTTTTTCCCAATTTTTAGTTTCCAATCAATATTCCAAGTTAGCCTTTAATATTTATAATTTTCAGGCTTTAGGTAACCAAGAATTCCCTTATCTCAATCCATAACAGAATCTACAGTAATATCCAAAATACACATTATTGAATATAATCTTGTTCTATTTCCTAAATATTATCTATTTCTCACCATATTAAATCATCTACTTAATAATACGATATCCCCTTTAAGAAATCAAAACCATTATATATATTACCTGGGTTAATCAATAAATCAAACCTATTCATAATATTTTTTTCTTTTAGGTCTAATTTTTAAATATTAAACAGATAAAATCCTTATTTTCAATTAATTTGCCAAATATTTTAAATCTAATGACCAGAATTCCCCTTATCTCAACTTCTCCCTTTAACCCTCTAATTAATGATATGAAATCCCCTCTAATAAATCAAAACTCCAATTTTCTTCAGCCTTATTCTGGCTTTCTTCCTTTGCCATCTAGGCTTCCATATCAGTGCTTTTAGATAATCAAATAGATCTCCCTCTATTATTATAATTTTATATTATTATTATTTTTATTTGAAATAAAGGAGACCATTTAATTGCCATTTGTATTCATTAAGTTGTCTCCCTATTATTCCAATTCCCCATGATTGCCCTAATATGTTTATCTTCCATTCAATCTGTTCCTCTTCTTTCTCAGATTTCTTCTGATTTATATAGAAAGTCTTTTCCATTTTCAGTGTTGTCACTCCCTTTTCTGAATTTTCCATTAATTGTATTTGTTGGTCAATTGAGTCTGCTGTCTTAATATTTGATTGTTCCACTCTTCTGTTATCTTCTGTGTTGTTAGTTCTTTGCTTGTAATCAAAGTTTGGGTTTGTGTATCTAAGCTGGTGTCTTGATCTTTTACGTTAGGTCTTATTTTATCACAAGCTGAAAGAATGGTTTCATGTATTGCTTTTAACATGGAAAGGATCATTTCCTGGTCTTCATACATCTCTTTTACATGTTTATAAATAGTCTTTATAGTAGAAAACATTTGTCAAGCAAGATTTTATAGTCCAAGGTATTTCATCATCTCATATAGTAACCAATATTCCTCAAATAAAGAGATAAGAAGACAATTCTCCACATATAACTCTGAAAGTCAGTAAAGGTTTACATTCACAGTTCAAGTAGGCCAGTTATGCCACCCAGCTGTTCTCTTACAGCTGAGTTTCTCACAGGTGGTGCCAAGGTCAGAAGAGTATTATCTAAGATCTGGGCTTCGAGCCAAGTCTCTTTTGGGAAATAAGTTGTAATACCAAACTTCACCACAAGATGTCACTGATGCCATTTAAGGTTTTTTAAATCCAAATTTTTTATAATCCTTTTTCCAATTTTATTTCTTTTTTGTAGTTAAAAGCAAAAGTCTCCAATAAAAATAGGAAAATTTTTGGTCCCCAAGTTTCCAGAACATATAAATCCAATTAGATTAAAGTTGTTCTTTTAGTGCTTTAATTCCCCTGGGTAGTCAGTTGCCGCTATTCTTAGAGGGTGGGATAGAAATTCCCTTCCCTTTCTCCTCACAGGGGGAAAGATACTTCAGGCAGCTTTTACAGGAAAAGGAAGTACTTAGAGTAAAAAGAAGATCAGATCTCATCCAGTTTCATCCGCGTTGCTTTCAAAGCGTTTGGTGGTAAGTTTGACTTCGACTGTCTGCAGCCTAGAGATGGGCCATATTACTATGGCCGGTCTTTCCTCCGCAGGTTTGGAGGGCTGCCCTGGATCTAGCAGAAGGGCTGCTGCCCTCCCGCGATCAAGCGGGGGTCCCCTCCTTGCTTGTCGCCCCTACAGGGCAACTTTTGACCCTTTCCAGGATCCACCAGTGGAGCGAAACTGAACACAGAAGATGGAGCTTACCTTCCAGTGGCCGCGACTGCTGCGATGGCAAACTGGAAGTCTGTACAACTTCTATAGCACTATTTCCAAAACAAAAAATAGATTGACTGCAAAGATAGGACATTTTATTTTTCAGGATACCATTACATCATCCCACAAAACTTAACTCTGCATGAAGAGAACAATGGAACCCCAATAAGCTGAAATGCTTGTGCTAAATTTTCACATTTGATTTTAACAAAACATTTGATTTTACCAAAAATTAGATTGACTACAAAGCTAGGACATTTTATTTTTCAGGATATCATTACATCATCCCATGAAACCATAACTCTGCATGAAACCCCAATAAACTGAAATGCTTTTGCTAGAGTACCAACAATGACGTTAACAAAATGTCTGCTTCTTCAATATGGGTAGGTATTCTGTCCTGAGAAAACATTTCTTTTGCCAGCAGCTTATTCAAACCAACAGCATTACTTTTTGAAAATATAAGAGGATGGTGCAAAGACTTTAAGTTGCAAAGTTATCTTGTAGAAATTCAGGGCAGATCCAGGTGATTTGTATTATAAATCTCAGGCACTCATAAATAATTTATAGCTAAAGGTGGCAGCTAGATTCCTGATGGGCCATCCCCACATCAAATAAGAAGAGCATTTATTCTGAAGTCTCCACTTCATTACCAGTAGGTTTTTGAATTCAATAGAAATATCAATAATTTTTAAAACCTTTATTGTGCAGCACAAGGATACCTTTAGCAACACATACAGTAGTGAATCAAATCTGTCCATCTGATCTTTTATGTAGAGATGCTTATTATGACTCCCATGACTTTTTCCTATTATGACTTCCTCACTCAGGAGGAAGGCCAGAAAGCAGGCTTTTTAAGTCATGATTTTTTACAGAATATTTTCTCTATGACATTATTTTACAGATACATTTCATCACTAGACTGTAGGGAGTTTGAAGACCGTTTAACTATTAACTCAGTTGTAATAAGGGAACAAGAACTTCAAAATACATATTAAATGTACAAGGAATAGTTATGTTTCTGCCTTTTTATTTATATATGCCTGTAAGATATGGGTGATTACCACATCATATGGATTTCCTAAAATTATTACAATTTACCAAATACCAATATAAGTCTTTCTTGAAGAATAATAAAAATAATAAAATAAATATTCTAAGCAGCATATTCAAACCAGCTTTAATATGTTTTTTATCTATTGGTTGCAGAAAAAAAAATTATCCAGTCTCATTCAATCAAATTTCACTATCATTTCCTTAGCTCATTTTTTTATTTAACTATTAATGTCTTGAGGCTGAAGAGTCATATAACAGACAATTGTCATAAAACCAATGTATAACAATTTTGGGTTGATAAATACATATAAATTAAATAAACTTACAAAATTAAGGGGATAAATGTCTCATAGTAAAATTTACCTCTCTTACTTGCTCTCTGATTTCTCTTCAAATTTTTATAAATAAATAAATAAATACACTGCTCATATTTCTTTAATACAAAATTACTTAAAATTAAGAAGTCTTGTAAGAACAATTTTAATCTGCTTATTTCTCATGCCATAAATCAATGGATTTAAAATGGGTGGAATAATGGAATACATTATTGTAATTATGAAATCAAGGTGTGAAGGACTGTCAGATATGGTCCTTAGGTAGGCAAAGCAGCCAGAAAATAAAAATATGGTGAGGATAATGAAGTGGGGAAGACAAGTGGAGAAGGCTTTTTCCCTTCCTTGAATAGAAGGGATTCTCAGTACAGCAGAGAAAATTTGAACGTAAGTAAGAACAATGAAGAAAAAACAACCCACTACCAATGTAGCAGTAAATACTACAATTCCAAATTCAGTTACATATAAACCAGAGCAAATAATTTTAAGTAGATGTGGAATTTCACAGTAGAACTGGTTAATATTTTTAGAACAAAAAGGAGTAGTAAATGTTGCAACAGTGTGTAATGTAGTATTAAGGAAGCTGGCAACCCACACACTGCCAACCATTTTGATGCAAGCTGTCCTGTTCATGATCATTTCATATTGTAAAGGATTACAAATGGCAACATATCGATCATATGCCATAATAGTAAGGAGGGAAATACAATAGCTCAAAAAGAAGATTGATGAGAAAACTTGAGCAATGCAGCCAGAATATGAAATATATCTGATATCCATAAGAGAATTGAAAATAGCTTTGGGGATAATGATTGTAGTAGAACCAATGTCTTGCATGGCTAAATTCATCAGGAAGAAGTACATAGGGCTGTGTAGGTGGTGGTCAAAAACAACTGCAATAATGATGAGAAGGTTCCCTGTTACTATCATTAAATACAGTATAAGTAATAGAATTCCATATGTAGTCTGTAGCTTCCAAATCTTTGAGAATTCCAAGAGTAGAAACCCAGATGTGTCATTATCCATTTTGAATCATGATATCCCTAAAATTAAAGGAGCTGTATTAAATGTTTTCTATTAAGATAATTTTGGGAAGATATGAAGATAAACTATTCAAGGTTGAGTGAAATTACCTTAAATCCCTGCTTCTACAACCACATTCAATCTTCTGAGTAACAGCACAGCCACCTCACCCATCAATTGTCTTCTTTTAATTTAATGTTCTCTATGATGTCTCTTTTATTTAATACCACCAGTGCCTTACAAAAATAATTTGAAGTTTGTCCTAGGGATTTGTTTGTCCTAGGGATGTTTTGTTTCTAATTGAAAATATTAGCAATACCTGCCCCCCCTCCCCCCAAAAATGAATGGCTCACCCTCTTTAATCATGGAGATTTCTTCTTTTTCCTATTGTTTTGTTCAACCAACAGCAAAATGTTATGTTGTGAAGGCATCACTGAGATTTTGTTTAATTTATTTTCCATTTCCCTATAGTTTATCTGTTGGCATTGTTATAAAATCATTATGGACTGAAAAGTTTTCTGTACTCTTTTAAGCATGTCTCAAGAGTCTGTATTACTTTAGCTGAGTAATTCTGCAAGATAAAAACAAAGAAAAAGAAAAAGAAACGTGTCTAATTTGCAAAATTTAAGGAGAGAGTAGTTTATAGTAGCTGAAAACTACTACACTTATTACCAGTTTTTAAGTGATGGAAATATAAAATTACAGTCGACAGATATTTTGGAATGAAATTATTTTAATCACATAATTATATAGTTCTGTGCAAAACTGTTAGGCAGTTGTGCAAAAATGCTGTAAATTAATAATACTTCCAAAAATGGAAATGTTAATAGTTTATTTTTATCAATTAACAAAATGGAAAGTAAATGTACATAAAAGAAACCCAAATCAAATCACTTGCACACTTGCATAAAGTCAGAGATTTTATAGGATTAGAGTCAGGTATATGATTAAACAGGTGCTAATGATCATCAATTTCATATGTAAATTAAAACACAGACAAGAATTGAAAAAGAAACAGCTGTGTAGTAGGCTTAAAACTGGATGAGGAATAGCCATACTCTGCTACTAAGGTGAGGTTGTGGAAGATAGTGTCATGGTTCCGATAGATTAAACCCATCAAAAAAACTTCCAGGCAAAATTTTTCCTTAAAGAACATTTTATACCTGAGTGGCTTTCAACAAAGGAAGCATTTGCTTATCCAAATCTGATTAATTATGACAAACTGGTCTGTTATAAAGACATGTTAGACAAAAAGGGAAAAATTAAGGACAGGCAAACTTAACAACTACAAGGTATTGACTTGACATGGTGGTTCTACTTGCAAATTCAAACAAAATACGAAAAAGATATAAAATCAACAGGTTTTTACAAAGAACAGACCCCATTGGATAAAATTTTGTTAAAAACAGATGAGAATTTGATTAAACTGGAAGATGGAAGAAGAACAAGTAAAAGAAATAATGATAGTATGGGTAAAAAACTTTGGATATTCTATAGATTTGGAAGACTGGCAAAAACTTTGGGATAAAAATATTAAGCTTACAAAAGTGGTAGCATATAAAGAAAACTTATAAAATATGTTTTATAGATGGCATATGACACCAGTTCGCTTAGCGAAAATGTTTAAAAATGTTTCAGATATCTGTTGGAAATATAAACAACAGCCAGGCACTTATTACCATGCCTGGTGGACATGCCCTATCGCTAAGAAATATTGGTCTAAGATCCACAGATGGTTGGAAAAAATGATGAAACTACAGATAGAATTTAAACCAGAATTGTTTTTGTTAGGAATATTAAGACCTAATTATGGCAAAGAGAATGACTACTTGATATTGCATGTTTTAACTGCTGCAAGGATAGTATTTGCCCAATTTTGGGAAAATGAGAATTTACCATCTGACCAGATTATTTTTACCAAAATTTTAGAGTGTGCAGAAATGGATAGACTAACATTAGAAATGAAAGAAAAAGATGATTCAATTTATTTTAGAATTTTTAGAAATTTTTTTATAAATGGTTAGAGACACGTTAGAACTTGAAGGATTCAATATTTTATAAGAGATGACTGATTTTTAATCGAGTTCTAACTAACATTTTGATGATATGATTACTTTTCCTGATTCACTGATTTTCATTTGTTATTTTTGATTGTTAGGATTTTTTTGAGATTTTATTAGTAGTGTTTATTTAATAGATCAACGTATTTGTTTACTAATTGTTTTTAATATGTTACAGTCTAAGCTTTGTTAAAAATGGTTGAATATGATATTTACTCATTATTATGATCTGGATGGTTGCTTGTTTGTTGAAATATGTGATTGCACCTATCCTTATTTTACCCTAATTCCTTATTTCCTTCCCCTCCCCCTTTCCTTCTACCCCTCCCTTTACCATACCTGTATTGTTCCTATTTTTCCTCATCTATATAAACTTAATAAAATTTTGTTAAAAAAAAAACATTTTATTCAGGAAATAAAGTATCAGCAGTACATAGTTGAACCCCAAAACTAAATTCCCTTCCCCCAGATACAAAGTAACAAAGTACAATTCCCACCCCCAATAAACTGTCATAAATCACATTCCCCAATTAGTTAAAAGTGCAGGCTTTCTCCCCAGCTCCTCAGCCTGCCAAAGTGTTATCAGCTTGTCCTTGGGATCCCACGGCAGCATTACTGTTATGGCTAGCTGAGCTTTCATTCCAACCCTGCCCTGCTGCACCTGATTTCTAAAAGCAAGAAAAAGCATAATAATGGAGAAGAGAAAATGGCTGCATTTTCATCAGTTGTCAAAGCGGGAACATCCAATGTTAGCAGCGTTGACAGATAGTTTCAGAGGTCATACACCATGGCAAAACTAAGCATAGGAACAAGACAAAAGGTAATTATACTGCATCACAAGGTCTCCTGTAGGCAAAGATTTCAAAGCAGACTGGGGTTTCAAGATGTGCTGCTCAACCTCTTTCGAAGAGGGCAATGTTAAGGACTGTAGATACAGTGGTTAGACAAGGAAAATTAATGCAGTAGATGAAAGACACACCATGCTTATTTCCTTTAGACATTGGAAGATATTTAGCAGTGCCATCAGCACAGAACTGGCAGAAATCAGTGACACCTAGGTATACCTACCTACTGCCCAGAGACAAAAGTGGTCTTCATGGAAGTATTGTAGCCAAAAAAACCATACCTCCAAGATGAAAACAAGGCTAAGGAACTCAACTAGGTATGAAAACATAGGAACTGGAGTAAAAACTGTTATTAAATACAGTATAAGTAATAGAATTCCATAGTCTGTAGCTTCCAAAATTTTGAGAATTCCAAGAGTAGAAACCCAGATGTGTCATTATCTGTTGTGTCCTGAGCCTGCAAAGGCAGGCTCGGGACGTTGCAATGGTCCCGGGCAGTTGCAAGCTGCCCGGGACCAGACTGAGTGGCACTGGCTTCGTGCGCATGCACGAGGCGCAGAAGCATGCCAGAATATTACCTTTTTTGCCCAGGGATTCTATTAAAGGAATCAGAGAGGCCTGCGAGCCTCAGAGCTGTAACGGAGAGAGAACTACTGAAATAAAAGGCTGTTGGAATAGGAAAGCCTATTCTTTCGCCGTTGACTCAAGGACTCAACACTGGTGACGAAGGTGGGATAGCTTACAAAAACAAAAAAGAAGAATTGTAAGCTTACCCCAAGAGTCCTGGAGAGAGGAAGACAGCATTAAACTCAGCACCTGGCCTGCCAGTACAGCGTCGCTGGAGGTAAGCTGGCTGATAGACCCCTTCCTAACATAGAAGCAAGAATGGCGAAGATAGGGAGACTGTCTGAATTCGATGTCACTCACCCAGAAAGATGGGAGTCTTATGTTGCCAGAGTAGAAAATTACTTTAGAGTAAATCAAGTAAGAGAAGATGGCTTGAATGCCGCTACTTTGCTGTGTGTCTGTGGTCAAGATCCATTTGAAATTGCAGAAAATTTGGCAGCCTCTGCTCCTCTTGAATCTGTCACTTACACAGATTTAAAAAAGTTATTGAAGGAACATTTTCAGCCCAAGTTGTCTGTTATTGCATGGAGACACACTTTTGAACAGAGGGATCAAAGAGCTGGTGAATCAGCTAAAGAATACATTGCAGCCTTGAGAAGAGCAGCTAACCCTTATGATTTTAAAGATTTAGAAGAAAGGTTGAGAGACCGATTTGTATGTGGGCTTAGGAACAGAGACTTGCAACAGAGACTTGCAACAGAGACTCTTTGCAAAAGAGGACATTTCATTCCAAGATGCCTTGAGAGAAGTCACTGCAGAAGAGGCAGCAAGGGGGAGGCAATCAAGAATATGAGGCCTATCAGGAACAGCCCAGAAGCCGTCTCCGTGCACCATGAGGGAATCCAGGAGAGCTCGGAGGAAGATCCTGAAGATGAGGTGGATCATCTCTACCCAGCCAGAGAAAGGAAACAGAAGGAAGGCAAAGAAAAGTCTTCAGCTGTACCCAAGTGCTTCGGGTGTGGAGGTCACCACAAGAGGACCGACTGCAGGTTCCGTTCTGCAATCTGTAGAGCATATGGAAAGCAAGGCCACATAGCAGCTGTGTGTCTGGGCTGTCAGAAGGTACAACCCTGAGAAGAATTACATCTGAAAGGTACCAGGGTCCCCAGCCAAAACAGGGTGGGTTTCTGTGCATCACGTAGAAGCATTTAGAGGAAAGGCACACACAGGCAACTTAAAAAGAAACTGTCACTTAAGGTGAAGTTGCAAGGAGTTCCATTGGTTATGGAACTGGACACTGGGTCTGCCCTTTCAATCATTTCTATTCACACTTTCAGAAAAATTTGCTCTAGCAGTGGGTTCCAGGCCAAGCTTAGGCCATCCAATATAGTATTGACAGACTTCCAAAATTCCAAGGTGTGTGTTAAGGGGGAGGCCACCCTTAAAGTACAATACAAGGATTTTGAAGGTCCATTAGATGTATTGGTAGCTGGGGGTGAACGAATGAGTCTCATTGGACTCGATTGGTTTGAGGCCTTGGGAATACAAGTTACAAGGCTACACAATTTGCAAACATTAGGTTTACAAGAAGTCTGCAAAGAATTTGCACATGTTTTCAGCCCCCAGATGGGACCATACAAAGGCCCCCCAGTTTCCTTGAAACTGGACCCCACTGTCACTCCCCTGCTTTGAAAGGAAAAATTGATATTGAATTG